AGCAGGGGAATATTTCTCTTTAGCACTGAAGTCTGTTATCCTCTGGAAAGCAGCAATCCTATTGCCTCCAGTCATATTTTTCCTAGGAAAAGCCCTTCCCACTGTGGTTTCTGGGATCCAGGAGGACTTATTCTGATGTGCCACAGGAGCTCTGGAGCCTAAACCAGGATCTCAGCAAAGCCACGTTAGGGCTTGAGCATCACTTACAAACCCCCCCCAAATACCTCCCTGCTTCTACCAGGGACTGGAAGAAAAACAAGATGATTTTATTGATGTACCAAGAAGGCCAGATTCCAATTTGCTCCTTGCTGGCTCCCACAGAAAAGCACCTGCCACTGAATCAAACAGAAATAACTCCAAATAAGCCAAGCAGCTCGCTGACGTTTGTAGAGCTGCTTTTCTGACTGGCATAAATAACTTTAAATGCTTTACATTAAACACCTCTGGTGCCCCAAAGGGACCTTTCTTTATAAAATCTGTGTTCCAGTCACAAGAAGGCTCCTGCTGCAGTCCTGTGTCCCCCAGGAGACACGGGTGTGATTCCAGTACTGGAGTGAGCTGCTGCCTTTGAGGCACCCTGGATGTTTGTATTTATCTCTCCCATTTACATCCTCTCCAATTTCAGTTCAACAGCACCCAGAGGGTGTGTTGAATTTCAAAAGAAAAAAGAAAAACTCAGTCCTTGGCAGTTAAGAGGCATGTCTCACACAATAGCACAGCAAGGACTCTTCCACAGTCACAGCTTCATTACTCAGGGGACAGAAAAGAGAAGCACTCACCGAGGACTGCATCTTCTGCAGCTCCTTTAGAACAAATTCCACCTTCTTCTGGGTGGTGAGAGAGGCCAGCAACGCACCGTTGGACCTGCAGGACAGCTTGGCATGATCATAGTTCTCCTTTGCATTGGTTATTTTCAAGCAGTAGTTGCCAACCAAATGCCAGTTGGTTCCGCAGATATTTTCTGGGGGAAAAAAAAGAGAGAGAAAACCCAGAGATGCAAGTGGCCTTCACAAGATTCAAACTGAAGGAGGAGTCCTTCCAGGTCTTAGCAGAGTGCTCAAAAGTATCTTTTTTGTTATAATAATGGAGGTGGAAAAGGGAAGTTGTTTAGGGGACCTGAAGTGTGACATCAGTGTTTAGTTATCTGCAGCACTTCCCACAACATGAGTAGTAAAATCATAGAAGGGTTTGGGTTGAAGGGACCTTAAGGATCATCTAGTTCCAAATCACTGTAGAAGAGCAAAGGAAAACAAGTGAGTATTTTGCTGATGCCTTAAAGCCACTTATTCAACCCCAGCTGTTAGGACACAATCACAGAACGTTTCATAGGGTCATACACAGTTTGGGGTTGGACAGGACCTTTGAAGGTCATCTAGTCCAACCCCAGGATATCTTCTGACACAAGAGGACTGTTGGGCCAATTCTGTCCACAGCATCCAACTTCCAGGACTAATCACAGAACTGTTTCAGTAGGAAAAGACCTTTAAGATCATCAAGTCCAACTGTTAACCCAGCACTACCAAATCCACCAGTAAACCATGTCCCTCAGCACCTCATCTCTTCATCTTTCAAATACCTCCAGGAATGGGGACTCCACCAGCTCCCCAGGCAACCTGCTCCAATGCTTGGCAACCCTTTTAGTGAACATTTTCCTCCTGTCCAACCCAAATCACCCCTGGTACAACATGAGGCCCTTTCCTCTTGTCCTGTCCCTTGTCTCTTGGGAGCAGAGCCCGACCCCCCCCTGGCTCCAGGCTCCTGTCAGGAGCTGTGCAGAGCCAGAAGGTCTCCCCTGAGCCTCCTTTGCTCCAGGCTCAGCACCCCCAGCTCCCTCAGCTGCTCCTCCCCACACTTGGGCTCTAGACCCTTCCCCAGCAGCTCCGTTGCCCTTCTCTGGCCATGCTCCCGCCACCCCAGGATTCGAGGTGCAGCCTCCCCAGTGCCCAGTCCTGGAGTATGATCCCTGCCCTGCTCCTGCTGGCCACACCAGTGCTGATCCAGGCCAGGATGCTGGTGGCCTTCTTGGCCACTTGGGCACACACTGGCTCATCTCCAGCTGGCTGTTCACCAACAGCCCCAGGTCCTATTCTGCAGGGCACTTTCCAGCCCCTCTGCCCCAGCCTGGAGCACTGCAGGGGGCTGTTGTGACCCAAGTGCAGGACCCAGCCCTTGGCCTTGTTGAAGCCCATCCCTTGGCCATGGATCCAGGCTGCCATCCCCATTTCACTGTGGGCACAGCCATGCTCACTGCTGAAGAACTCCTCACACTTCAGGCTTAATTATTCCTCTTACAACTAAAACCTGATAGACATTTTCAGTGTGAATTCCTGCAGAGCTGATGTCTGGCTCCAACATCTCAGTTTAGATTTATCCAACAGATTGGAAAGCTCTCAAGTGTCAATTTTTCAGATGGGCTTTTTACACATATGATCAAGTCTTCCCTTCTTCTACAACAAATTAAACAGACTAAGCTCTTTATCTCATAAAAAGATATTTTCCTTGCTCTCATGGCTCTTCTCCAAAGTCTCTACTATTTTTTTAACCTTCCAGACTAGCAAACACCAGACCTGGACATCTCCAGACCTACAGGAGTTACTAGAGGAAGGCTTTCCATGCCCACTAAAGCTCCTGTTTATTTGTTTTGGGTTTTTTTTTCCCTTTGTCTATATTTTATTAACTGTATATTTAACCACTAAGGATTCTGTATTTCTTCCCCAGTCACCAGGAAGAAAAAAATGTTACTACAGAGAGACTAACAGTCAGTTTCTATGAGCTCCTACTGGAAACACTCTAATAACAGAATTTTCCTTACCCATTTTAGGTGCTATTTGCCTAATTCCTCCAGTATGTGTCATTACACTTTGGCACAATTCTAGTTTCTAAAATTAAATAGCATGCATTATTAAATGTAATATCTTGCAGAAGTCTATTATATCAACAGTACTGCTTTTAGCAAATGAAAAGAGAGAGATGAAACCCAGCCTAATCATGACAAAAATGATCACAGCCCTCTTCAGTTGGGACTGAAAAATATTCCATCAGACTTTGTGAATTTGCTGGAAGTGTGGACAGCAGGTCAAAGGAGGTGATTCTACTCCTCTACTCCACAATGGTGAGACCCTACCTGGAGTACTGGGTCCAGCTCTGGAGCCCCCAACACAAGAAGGACATGGACCTGTTGGAGTGGATCCAGAGGAGGCCCCAAAGATGATCAGAGAGATGGAATCCCTCTGCTGTGAGGACAGGCTGAGGGAGTTGGGGTTGTTCAGCCTGGAGAAGGCTTCAGGGAGACCTTATTGTGGCCTTTCATTACCTGAACAGGGGCCTACAAGAGAGCTGGGGTGGGACTTCTTATAAGGGCTTGTAGTGACAGGATGAGGGGGAATGGCTTCAAACTGGAAAGAGGGAAGATTGAGGTTAGAAACTAAGAAGTTCTTCACTGTGAGGCTGCTGAGACCCTGGGCCAGGTTGCCCAGGGAAGCTGTGGAGGTTCTGTCACTGGGTGTCTTCAAGGCCAGGTTGGATGGGGCTTGGAGCAACATGAACTAGTGGCTGCTCTAGTGGGAGGTGTCCCTGCCCATGGCAGGGGGTTGGAACTGGATGATCTTTAGGCTCCCTTCCAACCCAAACCATTCTGTGATTCTCTGTTCCACTCCAGCTTAGCACTACAAGATTACATATTTGGGGGTAAAATAAACCAAATAAATTTAAAAAGAAAACACCCCAATTTTGGACAGGGTGAACTGGATGTTTTTCCTCACACAATTTCAAGCAGCACCTACCTGGCAGCGCGATGCACTCCTGATTCCTGGGCTCCCACTGGCAGTTCTGATCCATGGCACAGCTTTTACAACTTGTCTTTTTATTACAGTAATAGGCTGGGTTATCCTTGGGACAGTTGTCATAGAGAGTAATAGGAACCTGAAATAAAGAGCAGAAGTGAGGCTTCTTCCCATCCAACAAGGCTGGGCTAGACCAGCCATGAGCACCACACTGCACCTCACACTTTGCACCTACAGCTGGGACACTGGGCACAGCCTGGTCTGTGTGTTCAGGATCCTGCCCCAAGCCACCATCTGACACATTTTCCTTACTAAAGCTTTAACAAAAGGATTAGTTTGTGGGTTTTTTTTCACTTGGAAAGGTTCTACTGATGGCAAACCCAAATGTCTGTGTGTGTTCCATGAACCTAGCCCAGAGCCAGCCTCCTAACTTAAGGGAAGAGGCTCATGAAAACCCCTTGGATCAACTTGAAAAAAAAACAGATTTCAGCATGTTAGCAGTTTTAGAGCTACACATGCACTGGAAATAATGAAACAACAGGGGCTGTAAGACTGGCAGATGAAGGCAGCTGGACGTTTGATATTTCCAAGGCTAAATCTGAGCTACAGAAGCATTAGAGAGACATTACCTGCTCCTCTGTGCAGTTGTTATGGATGGAGACGCACTGGTCAGTGCACCACTGGCAGCTGTTTGTGTTTGCTGTGCAGCTATAGCAGTCTGTAATCTGATCACATTTTTCATTGTCTACAGCTATTAAAGAAAAAAACCTGCATGACCAAAAACAGGCATTTCCTGACAGAGCTCTTGATTACATACAGTTCAAAGATACAACCAAGCAGCAGCGCCTGTAGACTTCCTGTTAGCCACTACTTACAACTGAGAGAACCAGCAGCAACCACAGCAAGACTTGGAAGCTCATGAGCTAAGACCAAGCATGGATGCCCAGTCAACACCCATGCAGATGATGCCAGAGGACATTTCCCAAGGACGTTGAACATCTCCCACCACAGACTTGCTCTGCTGCAAGCCTGGCCTTCAATTACGTGAAGCGTTTTCATGCAAAGCCTGAACTTTCCACTTCATCTTTCCAACTGCTTATTGCCTGAGTTGTGTGAAAATTTATTGTACGTTGAGAGCCCATCAAAGCAATGTCCCTTTACATCAATTTCTTTTAAATAATTAAAGGCTGCCATCTATTACAGAATCAAGGTTCGTATAATTCAATTCAGAGCAACGAACGCGTCGGGATGAGGCGTTGAAAAGTTGTTTAAAAATTATCATAAGGGAGAAGACAGGAATGAGACCTTAAAATAAATGTTCTTTTTGCATGCTCCTGTCCATAACATTCTGTAGAAGGAGAATTAAAGGAACTTTTCTTAAAACACTTGCCCTGCTGTCCCTCTTGAAGGGCCCAGGATAAGACCACAGGGCCCAGATCTACCTCCCTTGCCCTGTGGTGCTCATCACCAAGTTGCTGGCTCTCACAAGGTCAGTTCTTGGAGCAAACATCTACAGAGCACTGTTCCAGGCCTGATTCCTGACTAAAGATCTCTGTTTGGGATATGAAAGTGACTACAGCAGTACAGTAGGAATAAAAACATCTAATGAACAAGCAAGGGGGAAGGAGAGGTGGAAACATCTCCCAAGAGGCTGCAGCCACTTGGTCAGAGGAAGGTGTCCCGAGGCATGTATGGAAGCACAACTACAGAGCCCCCAGCTTCAACTTGGTCTGGTAATGGCACACAACTAAGGCAAGGCAGAACATGGAAAAGAAGAAGACCCTACGTGCCTTTTGGGAAGGAAAAGAGGAAGGAGGTGACACATACCTGGCCTGGGAGGACAGTCTTCGAAGACCTTCTGCTGCAGCTGCGGGGTGGCCAGCTCCCAGGGGAGGCAGCGAGGAGAGGCCCACACGCAGCGCACCCCGGGGCCAGCTCTCCAGCAGGAGGTCTCATTCTCAAAGGCTTCACACCTCTCAGGTGTGTACTGCAGGATGTCACTCAGGAGGAGGCTGTTGAAGCCTCCAAATACGTACATGGTGCTAGGAAGAAAGGGAAGGAAAGAGAGAAATGTTTGAGCCCGTGTTCATAAACCACGTGCTGCTGCAAGTCAGTGTGATCCAAGGTGTGAGCAAAGTGGTTTGTTACACCCCAACATGTATAAATCCCAATAAATAGCTCTTGGTTAAGGAAGGCACTGAAGAAAAGGTCAACTAAGCTCCTCTGCTTCAGGGAAGCTGGAGAATCTCAACATAGGGGTCTTGAGACAGTCAAACCTATCCAAGGTCGTGGAGGGACCTTCAGCCAAAGCTCTGGGTGACACCTGCTCAATGTGGCTCTATCTAAAATGCTGCAGAAACGTGGGATCCTCCTGCAAAGAACAGGGGCAAGAGAGGAAGGCTAAAACTCAGGGCCACAGTCTCACACCATTAAACCAGCGTTCAGAAACTGTGACCAAACAATTCCGTGTTGTCACATCTTGCTACACTGCTGTGACAAAACCACAGTTATTGTCATGGTCCTTAGCAAGAGTCATCGTGTCAACTTGAAAAAAAAAAAAGCCACAAATCCCCAAACAAAATAATACTGCAGGGTTTTTTTTTTAAACCTTCCTTCAGGCAAAACATATTTCATTCGTTAGACAAAAATCCCAGTTAAGAACATCCATGTTTGTAAAGGCAGATTAAAAAAAAAGAGAGTAAAGAAGAGTTAATGTAATAAAAAAGAAAAGTTTTGGTGGAATAATAAGTGGTTTTAAGATGATTTTCATCCTGTTTTAGAATGAGAACTAATGCACAGGCTTAGTTGCCCTTCATGGAAACAAATGCACGGCTGGTCTTCAGCACACAGTGGAAGGAGTAGGTAGTGAGGAAGATTGGAGAGATAAAAGGAATATCTTGAAGCACACCTTCCTTTTCAAGGCAGTGACAGTTCTCTGCCTGGCTTAAACTGAGCTTTAAGGAATGTTATGGATTCACAGAAAGTATCCTCAAAGGATAAAGGAACCAGAACAAAAAGTTCCTGAGAAATATCACTTCTCAAACTCAGCTGCAGTAACTGCTGCTCACCTGAGAGCACAGCTATTACTCCAGGGATATGATGCTCAGGAGTAGAAATCTCACCTAGGATTTCACCTAAATACTGTGCAAAGAACCAGCACCCAGGAGAAGTCGTGGGAACTGAAGCAAGTTTAGAAACACTAAGGTGTGATTTGGAGAAGGAAGTTGTCAGGGAAGCTAAATAAGAAATGGAAATCCATGAAATTATGAAGTAAATAAGAAATATAAATACATATAAAAATAGGAAAAAGAAATAGGAAACAAAAAAGAGATTTTTGAAATCCCTAAGTGAGCTGGGGGTTTAGTCCAGTGGAGAAGAAGGGCTGGGGATACTGAAGGCATTACAAGACTGAAGATCTGAGTACTCTGAGATGTTTACAACAGATCCTCAACCCTCTGGTCTCCCCCAGAGTTACTGATCCAGGTGTAACAACACACACATGCACCAACAGACACACAGGGGTACAAGTGCACTGAGATATCACCTTCCACACCCTGATCTAGCAGGAGGTGTCTCTGCCCATGGCAAGAGACTTGGCACTAGGTGACCCTTATGGTGCCATCCAACCCAAACCATTCTCCACAAAACCCATCAACATCCCAGAAGCTTGTTTGCAGCCTTACCTGTTGTAGAGCACAGCAGAGTGTCCAAACCTGTTGACGTCGTGGTGGAGCGCCGGGCGGGGAAGGACAGACCACCGATCACAGGCTAGGATTAAGGAAAGAGCTGGTCAGAAAAGCTTCTCAGTGCCATCAATGACTCAACTTAGGTAACACTTTCCTGCCTGAAATATCCCAAAGTACTTTAATAACCACAGGGAGACATATAATTATGGTGTGGAGGTCGGGCTCTTCTCCCAAGGAAGAAGAGAGAGGACAAGAAGAAACAGCCTCAAGTTGAGGGAGGTTGAGGTTGCCCCTGAGGAACAATTTCTTGCCCTGGAGGGTTGCCCAGGGCTGTGCCAGGCTGCCCAGGGCAGTGGTGGAGTCCCCACCCCTGGAGGGGTTTCCAAGCCGTGGAGATGTGGTGTGAGGGACACGGGGCAGTGGGGACCTGGCAGGGATGGGTTAAAGCTTGGACCTGATGACCTTAAAGGTGTCTTCCAACCAAACCAATTCTAGGATTCTCCTTTACTAGTGGAATTTTTCACTGCCTAACAAGCTGAAGTTTTATCTGTTTATATTGTGAATTATATACAGTTTTGCCCCAAACCAGTATCACTGAGAACAGAGACTTATCTTCTTTTTTTCCCCCCCTTTTATTGCAATTATGTTCCTAGAGGGTAGATACCCATGTTTTTAAAAATATTTTTCACTCATCATAGCTTAAGGATTTGTGGTTGTTTTTCTCCTTTAATAGAATGTGAGATTATTCCATCTTTTTCTATTAGCATAACATTTATAAGTTCTGCTCCATTTTTCACTCGGTTTCTCAGGTAATTTCTTCCTTTAGGCAGCATGAAAAAACCAACCAAGCTAAGAAACATTTAACCCACAGAGCAATCAAAGGAACAAAAGCAGAAGCCAGGCCAATTCCTAGCACTTAAACTGGGTAAAGTGAAGGGGATCATCTCAGGGGCTAAGGTCCCAGGGGCAGCTTGTGCAATTTTATGCAATTAAGACAGAAAAGTCAACCTGCTGGAAAGATCTACAGAGTCCTCCAAGATCTTTCATAGAAGATAAAATCATTGTAGAAGATAAAATCAATCTTTCTCTGAAAGAAAAAAAAAAAAAGCCCACAAATCCTACTACACAAATAAATGGAGAGGGCAAAGAAAAATTTCCTTATTTCTTTTTCACCAAATTTCATTGGAGAATTGTTGGGTAAAAACCAATCCCAACCTTTGCTCCACCAGAAAGTTTTGTTCAAGGGCACTGCTGAAGAAAAGACATAGGACCTGGTTGGGCAGGTTTAATATTTCCATAAATTTTGATTTTGAAGTTTATTTTTAGATGTCATTTGCTTGATTTCCAAGGAATTCAACCCAGCCCAGAGTCACTCCTGAGACCAGCACAAGCATGGTTCCAATTTTTCACAGGAGACTTCAGCAAAATTGGGCAGCAATTTGCAATTTTTTATTCATCAAGTTGTGAGTTATGTGAGGCCAAGAAATATATTTTTCTAGATTAATAGAAGGCCTGGAATGTTTTGCTTTCTAAGCTTCTTTCCCATCTTTAACTGAAGATCAAGTATTGGAAAAAATGAATAACTCTGAAACTACAAAGGATCCTCTCCCTTCATGACTTAGGAGTTAAGCCAAGCCTAAAACTTACAATGCACAGGATTTATTAAATATACAATTCAAATAGCACACATACACTATGAAAACATTCAGCTCCTTTCTATTTTGTCTTCAGAGCTGAATTTTTGCTGGGGTAAATAAGAGTTTTAATTTCTTTCCTGGGGGGGAGAAAAGATCATTGTGTAAGTGGAGCCTTTACACGAGTATTTCATGTTGAGGTGCAACAACATAAAGTTAAAACTTATTTAAAAATGGAATAAATGGTTCCTGAACCCACAGGAACTGCATTTTGAGACAGTTTGCCTGTCAAGTTCCTATTTTTCTTCTAGATACATCCCATATGCAACAGAGGTGACTGCTGTTGAAAGCACAACTCTTCACCCCTGGAGATGAGCAGCTCCCAGTGGAAGGGCTGCAGCTCTCACTCTACTGCTATGAAAGGATTGAGTGAGGATTTTGTCCACCCAGAGACAGAACTGCTGCAGAACAGGAAAGTCTCCTACAGAGGCCAAAGAGACTAGTTTTGGAGACAGGAAGGGCTAACTAGTCACTGCAGTGTGCAGAACGTCAGAAAATTACAGTGAGACTCCTCTACCCAACTGCTCCTCACCCACCCTGACCACTGACCCAAGCCAAAGGCTTCTCCTGAGAAACAAGAAGTGCACATGCACAAGGAGAGCTGGAACACTACCCTGAAATCTTCCAACACTGGGCAATTTGGACTGAATATGCCCCACTGTGGCCAAGTGGAGGACAAAAGGATAAAAAGCACTAATGTACACTCAGATCTACCTGAATACTGCACCTTGAACCCTGGGTTTGGATTTGGGCTCCTCACTCCAAGAGGAGTGGCTGGAGGGTGGACAACGAAGCTGGGGAATGGTCTAGAGCCCAAGTGTGGGGAGGAGCAGCTGAGGGAGCTGGGGGTGCTGAGCCTGGAGCAAAGGAGGCTCAGGGGAGACCTTCTGGCTCTGCACAGCTCCTGACAGGAGCCTGGAGCCAGGGGGGGGTCGGGCTCTGCTCCCAAGGGACAAGGGACAGGACAAGAGGAAAGGGCCTCAAGTTGCCCCAGGGGAGGTTGAGGTTGGAGCTGAGGAACAATTTCTTGCCCTTGAGGGCTGTCCAGCTCTGCCCAGGCTGCCCAGAGCAGTGGTGAAGTCCCCAACCCTGAAGTGTGATATTTACAGTGCTTCCTCACAATCTACAGGCTTATTCATAGAACCATAGAACCATTAATGTTGGAAAAGACCTCCAAGATCATTAAGTTCAACCTGCACTACCATGACCACTACACCATGTCCCCTAGTGCCATGTTTACATGTTTCTGAACCCCTCCAGTGCTGGGGACTCCAGCACCTCCCTGGGCAGCCTGGGCCAATCCTCACCACTCTGCCAGGAGAAAAATTCTCCCTAGTATCCAATCAAAACCTCCCCTGGGGCAACTTCAGCCCATTGCCTCTTGTCCTATTGCTTGTTCCAGTGGAGAAGAGACCAACTCCCACCTCACTCCAGCCTCCTGTCAGGAGCTGTAGAGCACCAGAAGGTCTCCCCTCAGCCTCCTCTTCTCCAGACTAAACACCCCCAGGTCCCTCAGCTGCTCCTCACAAGCCATGTTCCCCAGACCCCTCCCCAGCTTTGCCCTTCTCTGGACCCACTCCACCATCTCAGTGTCCTTCTTCCCTATCCCACTGTACCCAAAATTCACCTCAGTGCTCAAGTGCCTCCCCAGTGCTGAGTCAGGGGGCACTGCCCTACTCCTGCTGGGCACACTCATTTTGACACAGGCCAGGAAGACACATTCCCATGGAGACCAACAGGATCCATGTCATTACTGCACAGGTCACATACAAAGAACCACAGAGTAGGAGTTTCTGCTGGGATACTGATGAGCAGCCAGCACCCTAACCCGTTCCTGGCACTGCTCCTGGGCTGGTGGGACAAGGCAAGTTGTGCATAAGGTGTCCTGCCATGTAAAGACAATTTGTGGTTTATGCCTA